TTTGTATGGCCAACCCATTTCTGTGGATGACGGCTGCGCGATGCGTAAATGCGGCAGCCGGGATTTCAAGTGGTTGCGTATTGGCATGAGGCAAAATGTCTCTTGCATCTGAGTATAGGAATGTGCTACGATTTGCGGATGCATGTTTCTGTCTTGATTGGACCTGGCAAGTTTCACAATGAATGGACGGTGTAGCAATAGTGAATGAAAGAGTGTTCGACACAGTTTCGTAGTCGGAGCCGTGGCCATTGGAACGTGTTGTGATGTTTGGACCGCATGATGAACGATGCGACCCAAATGGGGGATGTTAAAACCCTCCTGGCCCCGTGCCTAAATTGGGAAGCTGTTCTGAGGTCTGTGTTGGTGTTGGTTACAATGTTCCATTGACTGCCATTTGGCTCAAGTCACAAGTAGGGCTCAAGGTCTTGCATGAACTACGTTTGCACGTGATCGACCATAGAGAGTGGAAAATACTTCATTCGCGCTGCAGCTGCCAGGATCACCATCGTGGTTATTGGTCCTCATCCCTTACAACAGTTTACACGGGTTCGGCTATAACGGTTTGACCGTATACACCTTTCTACGTGGTTGGGTACACACAGCTGGAGGGTTCGGTGGACAGCGTCCCACGGGACGTCACCTTGCCGTCTCTTGACACAATTAGTTGCCGTAACACGGAAGTTTGATAAACAAACATCATATTTCATAATTATTAAGTGTATGGATTTCAAGTCTGATAAAGTCTATCATCACAAGTTGTCTATTGACTAATCTTATTGTGCTCTGTATTTCTTTCACCATCTTTTCAATTGTAATTAGGAGTTCCTCTTTACTTGTCATGATGTACTGATTGTATAGCATATTACATTTTCCAATACATGTATCATAATTCATTTTTGCTCTAACATACATTTTAATCTGTATTTCATCGGTATATCTTATTAGGTTCATAAACCTTTCTGATGGGTTCAATGATGAAAACGCCTTGTCGCCTTTTAACTTTTTGTTGTGTATCTCGTGGTTATACGGTGTAATGCACTTTTCTGGAGTTTTACGCCGACTGACTACATCATTACTAATAGAAGGTTTCCATGTCCTTTGTCTTCAAGCATCACATTGTTTCAGTCTTCGCCACCCTTCATAACCATTAATGTTTTTCTCTTAATATATAAGGTTTTTTCTCGTAAGTAGTTTTGGGTAGGGGTTGCTGGTCGGCTGGTCTAGGTTTCAGGTTTAGTTTAAATGTCTTAACCTTCTTGTTAGATTATAAAACAATGTTTAATCATATTATAACTAAATAATATGAATAAACAGAATTGTTTCTATCCAAATTTAATTTCATCAACAATATGATTAGAATAACTTATCAACCCTTTTTTACAGCAAGATTGTTCATAACCTTTTATTAATAAGTCTTTGTAAATCTCAATTAAATCGCACAGCAGAATTCATGATTTCTATATGACCACCAATTGTTTAGGTGTGGAAAGTTCATCCCATAATGTCTAAAATGTTTTAAATCTGAGATTTTAAGAAAATTTCCTAAAACGACACTAACTTCATTCTCATTATTCTTACAGTATGATTTTAATGCTTGGTAATACATTGTCCTATTCTTAAATCTTTCTTTAACTTCTTGTTTATCAAATGCTCCGTCAATGCCTTTTCTGCATTGTTTTAAACTATAATGGTTTCCTGATAGTTGTGTAATATCATTATTTTGCATTAGTTCAATAATTTTTGATTGAAGTTCTGCTTTTTCCAGTCCTTCTTCAGGAATGTCTTTATCTCTCACAAAATGTTCTTCTGCATCCAACAAATCACTACAATCAAAACATGTTGGTTTAATATAACCACCAATAAGACTACAAACGTTAACAGGTAAAATATTTGCTAGTGTTCCAGCAGAGTTACAGTTTTTATATTTACAAGGACAATTATCATAATTAAATAGTGTCATTTTTCTCTTACTATATATATTCATTGTTCTTTAAGTAGTTTGTATTTTATGTTGAGGGGTGGGGTTTATGTTGATAAAATTTACTTCTCACAATTAAATATACAAACTAGGTTTAATCATATTATAATTGAATAATATCATTAAACTAAATCACTCACGCTTTCCATTTACCTATTCCATCCCACCAGAATTCAATAATTCGCATCTGTCCATCTACTAGACTGTCTTCTTTGTTTAGTTTCCGTATCGCTCCTGATAAGATATAGTGGTTAATAATCATTGCTTTAAACTTTCCATCTCGGTTTAACTTTTTACCACAGTCTTTTATGATGTCTTCATCTGTTAGGTGTTCATACATTTCTTTCATGATGTCAAACCTAACAAATGAGTATATTGTCATCAGGTTTAATCCGCTATTATCCCTAAACCTGTTAACGACATCTTTCCAGAATTCTTCGTTTTCATCAACTGGTGGCAAAGGGTGTCTTTTGATGAAATCCTTTATTTTGTTCAACTCTTCTTCTAAATCCTTTCTATAACTGTCATTACCATCATCTTCTTCGTCTGATGGTGTCCAGTTTGATAAGTCAGCAATCACTCCGACATTTTCTAAAATTCAAGTCCTCTAATCTTATTTCAGTTATTTTCACTTCATATAATAAGTTAATATTTCTTTAAGTATTTTGTAATATACTGGCGAGATTAACAAAAGACCAAGTAATCAGCAACATCTATTACGACTTAGACGAGGGTTTCGGAAGCACACAAGCGACACACAAGAAGGCAAAGGAAGAATACCCAGCAATAACATTAGACGATGTAAAGTCTTTCTTAAAGAAACAACCAAATAAACAAATCAAAAATTATAGAGGCACTAATTCCTATACCGCTCCATTCGCAAGATATGAATACCAAATAGACATAATGCATATGTCACCTTTAGCAAAAGACAAGAATGTTCCACAGTATGCTTTAGTCGTGATTGACATCTTCAGTAAATTAGCAGATGCTATACCGATGGAGGAAAGAGACGGAGAGCACGTTTTGAAGGCGTTGAGAGCAAGTTTAAGAAGATGGGTTATCCGATGTCCGTGTATTCTGATGACGGTGGCGCGTTTGCAACTAAAAATCAAGTTCAGGAATTCTTCAACAGTGAAGGAATAAACCACATTGTCACTAAGACCCACGCAAATGTGGCCGAGCGTTTTATTAGGACGATTAAAAAACTTCACGATAGAGTTAGGTTTAACAACATGAAATGGACCGATGCCCTAACACCAGCATTGAAACAGTATAACAGCACATCACACTCATCAACAAGGATGACACCGTCCGAAGCACACAAGGACGACAATGAAATAAATGTAAAGGTCAATCTGAAACTACGAGAAAAGAACAAAAGAAAGTATCCCAGAATAGAGGAGAACGACAAGGTAAACGTGTTCCAAAAGAAAAGGGGTAATTACACCGACAGAAAATGGTCTAACAAAATATTCAATGTTGATAAAATTGAATATGATATTATGAGCAAGAAAACTTACAAAGTAGCAGGAATAAACAAACCGCTTTTGAGACACGAAATTTTGTTAGTTAATGATTAAACGTATTTCTTGGTGTCTTCGTTATACTTGACTTGGTAGTAATCCAGACTTGATTGTTTAGGTTCCTTTATGACTTTTTCATTAAGTTTTTTTTTAAACATAAATGTTTTGTTTATTTTTGTATTCGCTACTGTCTCTATCTACTTCTTTTGCTTGATAACTGTTATTGTTATTATATGTTTGTTTAATATTCATGCTCTTTAGGTTTTCAGTATGTTTTCATTTTGCGCCAACACTTTTTCTAATCTTGGAAACACCAACTCCAAACTACTGTCAATGTTCTGCAAATGTTCCTCCATATGTATATATATATACTAAATTATACAACTAAACTTTTAAAACTAAATGTTGCAATTATGTTAAACCTACTCTTTAAATACTAATTTTCATCATTTCTCGTATAGTTTCCTGTGTTTCGTTATCACCCTTATCGGATGGTGATGCATGCCTTCCCCATTTGATAGCAATACTATGAACATTTGTTTCTAAGTTTATACTGTCTTTAGTTTTATCAATATTCATCTTCTTATCATTTTTACTTATTTTGAAACTTGTTGGAATACACGAGCATTTGGAATGGATAGTAAAAAAGCAAATAACCGCCAATCCCCTCATCAGATGCATGGCACTTTTAGTGTCGCACAACCGATTAACATTGTTGTTCTCATTTTTCTAGATACACGGGGGTTCATTCCCAATTTCCCGCAGGAAAGAGATAATGACCCTCCTAAACAGAAAGGGGTTGTAAAACTGTTTACCCAAATTCAAAAAAAGTGGTCTGATAATCGCTTCTCTTCTCTTTCTTTCCACATGTCAATGTCAGCAAGCGCACAGACCTCCTTTTTCCAAAGATGACGCAACTGTTGAAATGCTTGGAGTGTTCCCACCTTACCCTTTTGTCATTCCCAACAGGGGAGAGAGCAAACCATTGGTCAAACCAAACAATTCTTGATGGCGACATACGTTTCCCTCATTTCAGGGGGAAAGGTTCCCTCATTTTAGGGCAAACGTTTCCCTCATTTTAGGGGGAAAGGTTCCCTCATTTTAGGGGGAAAGTTTCCCTCATTTTAGGGGGGAAGTTCTCTTGTTTTAGTGAATACTGTCCCTGATTGGATGGGTCTCTCTCCCACTCTGTGCTTGTTGGAGATGACTTTGAACTGTGCTCTATGCTACAAATCAGCACATGACACAGGCAGATGCATCGGGTGGCAAATCATTGCTCACCACCTGTTGCTCCACCTCCATCTGTCGCTTCATCACCTCACGGCTCACCAGCTTCCAGACGGATGCTACCAGAAGAGAAGACACTGAACTCATCGGCGTAAAAGGAGCAAACCTCTGCTGTCATCTCTTCACGGAGACAAGCCAAGGCTTTGGAAGACCTCTCCAATGACTTCAGCGGTGGATAGACCACCTGTGAAATCCGCACGACTTTCTCTTCAGAGTAGCTCATCCATGGAAAGGCGACGCACTGCCATCTGGAAAATCTGACAGCCGTTTGCCTTCAACATCTTCGCCTCGTTAATCATACCTTTGTAGGTGGCGATGACCTGATTGAACTCGTTGATGAAGTCATCGCCCTCTGGCACTTTGGTCTTGATGATGCTCTCCTTCATCGTCCGCTTGAGGTCATCCACGGCGTCGCACTTCTTCACGAAGGTCTTGCGGGTCTGCCTGAAGCGCCCACCGCCAGACAACTTGGGTCGGATGTCCAGCGTGTCACCCTCCTTCATCATGATGGAGCTCACGCTCTCGTATCCCACCACCTGACTGTCCTTGAAGAAGAGACCGAGGTTCTTGTCGTCGCCCACGTGAATGCCGTGCTCCTTCTTGATGATGATGTAGAGGTCGCTGAAGGTGGTGTGCTTCTCAATGGGGAATGTGAGCCGCATCATGCCTTTCTTGGTGTCCATCATCACAAACGCCTCCTTGACCTCGCCATCCTTGGAACTGGAAGCGCCGCCGCTGGGGTTGTTGTCCTTGTCCTGCTTCTCCTTCTTGGTCTTCTTGGTCTTCTTGGTCTTCTTGGACTTCTCGTCCTTCTTGTCCTTGCCGTCGTCATCGTTGCCGTCTTGGTTCTGGTCGGGGTAACCGCCACCTTGCTGGTTCGGGGCATCACCTCCGTCATCGTCATCATCCGTGGCGGTGAGGATGGAGTTCTCCACCACGCCCTGTGACCCGAGCTCGGTCCTTCCCGTGACACCACCCAAGACAGTGTCGCCCAAGTGGAAGGTGAGCCTTTCGAGCATCTTCTCCGTCGTGAAGACTGTTGGGTGAGAGCGGTGGAGTACCTCTCGGAGCTGCTTCACTCTGTCCTTCTTGGCGATGAAGACCACATAGTCAGCACCTCTGTACGTCACCACCACCCGCATCTGTGCGAGTTTCTCCATCGCCTTCGCCTTGGACTTTGCCGCCTTGGACAGCTTGCTCTTTGCTTTTGCTGCCACCTTTGCTTGTGCTTTTTGGATAGAGTCCTTCTTGCTCTTGACCAACAAAAAGCGGGCCTGTAACTCCTTTGCGACCTCCTTTGCCTCCTCGGCTTTCTCACTCCATCCTTGCTCAAGGCGTGTCAGCTCAAGAAGGGACAACTCTTGAACCGCCTCCGTGAGACGCTCAATGTCAATGTCATCTTCAAAGAGCGTATCATCCACATCGGGCTCTTCCTCCCCCGACCCTTCGGATTCACTCTCGCTTTCCTCAACCATGTCCTCTGACAAAGCTTCTGCCAAAGCGACCTGCTCATCTACATCATTCTCTGCCATTATTGGCACTTCTTCCAAAGTGCCCTGCTCACTCTCTTCATCATTCACACGCTTTGGCGCCATGACTGGAAGCAACGCGTGGAGATGCTACACTCAAAAGCTTGGAAGGATTCTAATATAGCAATCCATTTGAGAAGAACAAGTGACCAAGTCAAACAACATTCAGCATCAATCAGGTCTTCAAAGTAACTGACAATCTGAAAGCTATGCGTCTGACTGTTACAGCATAACCACGAGGCGGTGCGAATGACCGAATTAGTGGGACGAACGAGAACAAAAACAAATACACCACCAACACCCCAGAACATTATAACTACTAAAAGGGCTAACTCTTTCAGCAGAAAAAGCATTTCACCCAATAGCCCAAACATGAATCAAGAAATGAATCATGAATATTTAAAACGAATAAGGTTGTTGAATTGTTAATGTTGAACTACTAAAAGAAAACCCCCAACATCTAACCCTCAACCCTCAGCCCCAGCCTTTTTACAACTTTTTAGGGGGGGGTGACTTCAGTTTAGACGAGGCAAAAATCCGCGCCAAAGAACAATTCTACAACACAGCACTAAAACACAAACAAGACTACACATACAAGAACATCCACAAGACACGCCGGCAGTGCCGGCATACATTTGTTTTTCCTTTTGTTTTCCTTTGGTTTCTTTTTGTTTTTCCCTTTGATTTCCTTTTTGTTCTTTGTTGTTTTCCTTTTTACCTTCTTTTAACTTACTTTCCATTTCGCTCTGGTTTCTTCTTGGTTTTCCTTTTATTTTGTTGGGTATCCTTTTGGTTTTCCTTTTGGTTGTCTTTGTGTTTCCTTTTGGTAGCCCTTTGAATGCCAACCAAAAGGCGGTCCATAATTTAGAGAAGCTCCCGCGTGGACATTTCTCCCGGACACTCCCACCGCTTTGAGGCCTCGCGCTTGCTGCAGGGCAGAGCCCTCAAAACGGCCTACACCACGCAGGAGCCCGAAGTGTTTTCCGAGAGTGGTGTTTTTTCCATTACCAAAAGGGTGCCACTGCCACTGGAGGTCTTGGTCAACCCAAAGATTCCGGGCATGAAAAATTACTTCAGGCTTTGTCTATTCAGGTTTGCGATTATATAGGGAAAAAACCAGTGCCCCCCACCGGGAAAGGCTCTTGGAGCCTTCTTGGAAGGGCTTAGAAGGTGAACCATTCCTGGGGGGGTAGTGGTGCCAGTAATGCAGACACTTGGATTTGGATGGTTGAAGCAGTTCAAAAATCCTGAAGGACCATTTTCCTGAAGGGGCCCTTTGGTGTGTTCCCTGTTAGCCGGTGGGAGGGTAACAAAAGCCAGCGCAAGGATCTTTGCGTCTTGCTACAGCTCCTGAACCCCCTAAACATCCCAATCCCAACAAGGGCAGGAACTCACAGGCCGCTTTCAGGGCTGGTTCCTTTTGTTTGAGGGTGATGCAAAGCCCAGGAAACCCTCAATTGGTTGTGATTGGTGGGTCTGATTGAACCAAAGGAAGCGAAGCTTCACCAAGAAGGGTGCGCCAACTCGGAGGACAACTCCACCACTCCCTTCCGGATGCTGAAGAACAAGCTCAGCGGCAGGCACGCGGTGGGTCAGGCCTTCGTCTGTCTTTTTAGTGGAATTACACTCATGACTTCCCCGCCGTGTGGCCTAATCCCCTCGTGAGACTTCACACTGCATATTTATTAGGTTGACGAACGATGTTTAACTCACCCTGACCCATTGGATTGCCTGTCAAACTGAGTGGGACCTCCTTGGGGTCCGTGTGGAAAGGAAGGGTGCCATTTGGATGGGCTCATTTGGTTTGTTGGTTTCATTCTTCCAGACAAAACATAGCGAGCTCATCAGCTCAGCCTCGTATTCTGTCCTTCCCCTCGCCAGGTGTCTCTCCATTGGCGGCGCTGGCGTGGCGGGCGAAGGGCTCCTGCTGTTGGACTGGCGGGTTTCCGGTGGGGTCAGGAGTCTGCAGGTTGAGGGTAGCACCGAGCGGGTGTGGGCATGCCCCTTTTGATCGACCTGCTTTACGCTGAGACGTTTGAGGTCAGAAGCGAGACACGCAGGGGAAGGTCGGGAAGCGAGATACGGGCCTATTGGAGATTCCCCCATTCCAACCAGCCACCTGGCAAAGATCCATGGATCTAGTTTCACTGGGCAGTTTCTACGAATTTGTTCACAAGTTCGATCGGTCCAGGTTTTTGACTTGAAAATCTGAAACCTCTGCCTTTTCCAATTGCTCGGAACGCACGGCAAAGCTGCCGTGCCACGAGCCGCGCATTCTGCCTGCCCGTTGGCTTCGCGCCGCGAGGACTGCGGAGCCACCATCGAGCGGGTCCAGAAGTTCCGCCTGGAGAGTGCCCGGCACCTGCAAGGGGAGGGGGCAAGCGCCCTGCGTAGCTTCTTCGGACCCAAACCTTCCACATGGCGTTGCAGGGTCGTATCGGAATCCCGAGGCATTCAGACAAACTTTCGGTTGAGGGCAATCATTGAAATGCAGAACCTGCAAGCGGGAGACCCGTGGTAGGCGACTAGGCGACAAGATTCGGTGTGCACACACACATGCCGGTTTCTGGTGTTCTGTCCTGTGACTGGCAAGACATGGCAGGTCCCTCAAAAGTCGATCACTGTCTGCGGTTCTCTCCTCTTGTCACCCTCTCGGCCACAGAAATTATTTCGAAATGGGTGCTTTTTGGAAACTAGGGACTTGTTTGGGATGGGCTAAAGGGAAGCAAACTGAGGATGTCACAAGCATCCGGAAGGGTCGAGTAATTCGCGCATCCCAACAATCACCCATAGCCAGTCTGCAATCTCTCCCTGCAATTCCCTTCGTCACTTTCTCTTGGCTGGTGGCTGATTCGTGAACTGCGAACTGCAATGGACCTAACAGAGTGGCAGTGTCAAAAGACCCTTCCAAAAAATAGCCAACTGTGTCTCACCCAGCAAAGTGTCAGTTTCAATCGAACCCCCCCAAAAAAGCTGCTTTTCGGGGGAAAGGCAGTGAGTGTTCAGTGAACCCATCGGAGACGTTGCGATCGGACTCGGAAAACCACGAGGGCCACTTGGTGGTTTTGGGCGAGGGCGAGGTGCCAATGTGTGCCGTGCCCCAAGGCGGGGAGCTTGAATGGGTTCAAAACGTCCAGGGTGTTTCTCGAACATTTGGTCGATATTCACCAACATTTTTCTGTAGTCAAGGGAGCGATATGCGAAAGGGGGGCTATTCACCACTTCCCATGTCATGGGGGGCATAAGGAATTTTGACCGTAGCTCGTGCAAGGAACTCGGTTCTGTTCGGACACCAAGTCCGCGTTACCTTCCTTTCAAGAAGGGCCCTACCCACCAGAAACTCCGCCCCCGCACAACAAGAATCGCCAAAGCTATTGCCAAAGCGATTGCCACCTGCAAGTGTTGCCAACACTTTTTCTACAAGTATTGCCTCGGCCAGCTGCCAGAACTGATGCCACATATGTTTGTTGAACGCCTGTGGATTCATGTTATGTGTCATTGGCCTTTGAGACGCACAAGCACAAGCAAAGACAAACAGAGACACACAAACACTCAAAGACAACAAAAGAAAGAAAGAAAGAAAGAAAGAAAGAAAGAAAGAAAGAAAGAAAGAAAGAAAGAAAGAACCAAAAGAAAGGAAGAAATAAAGGAACGAAGGAATAAAGGAAGGAAGGAATAAAGAAAGGAAGGAATAAAGGAAGGAAGGAATAAAGGAAGGAAGGAATAAAGGAAGCAGGGAATAAAGGAAGACAGAAGCAAACAAACGAACGCACAAACAAACAAACCAAAATCCAATCAAATCAAATGAAGGCAAACCAAGTCAAGTCAATTCAATGAAATCAAACCAAATCAAGCAAAAACTGGGAAAATCAGAGACTAATCTCTGCTAATCAACCAAGGCAGCAAATGCACCTTTATCATCTTGAGCCATGCAATGGTAATCAGCATGAATTACATCCAAGTGGGAATGCATGGTGTACTTTCGCACGCCCCCTTGGATTAATGGAAACTCTGGAATTATCCACACTCCACTAGCACAAATGCATTCCAAAGAATGCCAAGCTGCCTTGAAATCTTTTCTCTCTGCAGAATGCCAATGCAAAACAGGTGACCTAGTCATCACCAAAAGAATTGCAATGCTGGGAATTGCAAAAGGACAAATGGTTGAATGTATTGTGGACTCGAATCACAGACAAAATGTACTCCCAGAGTATCGCCTCCAGAGTCACAAGAAAACGTCCCTCTCACTGTATTGTTGTCATGGATGAATCCAAACCAAAGTAAACTGTCATCTACGTAAATGTTGTAACTGTACCTCCACACAAATGCCGAGAGCTGAATCATAAATAAGTGGCAAATCGAACCAGGCAAAGTCGCGATATCCAATGAACATAGAATATCAATGCAAATCCAGTGTGGAATAAATGCATCCAAGTCGGTGCCTGGCCAGAATCGAAATCCCAGCTCCACCAATGCTGAATCACAGCCTCGCTCTGCAATATGAATCTACCAGTGACTTGGGAATCTCCTGGTAGTCGCCCATGAATCTGTCCAAGGAAGTCTTACAGGTCTTGGGAATGAACATGTGGTAATCCCGGTACCAAAGAGAATCGCTTTGCTGCAATGAATTGGCAGCGAGCATCAATTCCCCAATCTGGGCCCGGATCCTGAATCCAGCCATGGAGACAGTCTCCTGCATCGCCAAGCAGTCTCTTGAGTCCCAAATGTAGTCCTTGAAGTGAATGATGGGGTCAATGTGAGACCTCACAAACACATGAGTAAATGAATGCCTCATGAAATCAAGAAATCTCTGCGAATGTGGCCTGAATCCAATCACCACCGGTGTGTCCGCCAAATCTGTTCTTTGCATCACCCTCCGGTGCATATGATCGCTCATAGCTGAATGAATTCAGAAAGAATAGCAAAGACGAACGTGGGCTCAAACGAAATCCAGTAAACTGACTGTTCCAGAAACAATGGGAAGCAAAAATCGCAAATGTTCCCTTCATGGCTTCAGGAATGTTACTGACACGGCCCTCAAAGATCCTCTTCAAATGGTCCCACAT